ATGTGTGTGTATATGTCTGGTGTGGTGTGTATGGTATATGTGTGTGTGTATGTGTGTGTGTGTGCATGTGTGTGTGTGGTGCATATGTACTCAGAGATGAGAGTAGGATGTCACTGTTTCAGGAGGCTACATGGTCAGAGAGCTCTCAGGACCCACCTGTCTCTGCACCCCTCAACGCTGTGATCAAAGCCATGTGCATCTGTGTCTAGTGTTTCATGTGGGTGCTGTAGCCACAGCCATGTTCATCCGTGTCCAGTGTTTCATGTGGGTTCTGGGATTTGAATCCAGATCTTTCAGCGTGTAGAAGAGTGTTCATACCCACTGACCCATCTCTTTATCCCCTGTCATTCCTTTTCTTTGTGCGAATTTAACTTTTCTTTTCAAGTTTCATCATATAAACAGAGTTAGTACCTATGTGAACTTGTGTGTACATGCTCACAAATACGTGTGTAGATGGGTGGTGTGAACACACATATGGAAACATTGTGTGACATTACTCATATAAAATGCATCAGAGTCAACATATGTCAAAACTATTATTAGCTAAGTTTATATCAATAAGCATGAAATGGAGGATATTAGGTACACACACACACACACACACACACACACACTTTTAGAGCAATTGAAGCCTTTTATGGATTTCATACAGAATTAACAGAATAGTGACAAAATATATACCTAATCAAATCCATGGTATAACAACAATGAGTATTGTTGAGGGTATTAGGCAAGGAAAAACTGGAAGATTTCAGAGTTAAAAGACATATTTTAAGACATATTTATTATCAAGTTCTATTTTATTTTCTATTTGAGACAGGGTCTCACTTTAGCCCAGCCTGAGCTCAAAACTGCTATGTTTTGAGCTCCTGATCTTCTTGCCTCTACATCCAGCACTGGGATTATAGGCACGTGCTACCACACTGGGCTTGATGTGGTACTGGGAATTAAAACCTCCAGTCCCTTGAGTGCTGAGCAAGTACTTTGTCCAGTGAGTCACACTCGTATGCCCCAAGTATTTTACCATTTATCTTTGTGAGTGTGGTTCCAGGAACCAGACCCTGACTTTACACTAAACAAACATTCTTTGAGCAATATTCCCAGGTCAAATTTATAATACAGCAATGGGCACAAAAGGGTGTTAGTAAGGAAAAATCTGAGGTTTCCCATGCACTTCGGACAAAATCAAAAGGTTAGCAGTGTGATTCCAGGTAAGTAAGACCCAGTTTATCATGAGGTTTTCAGAGAAGGTAGTTCATTTGAAACTTTAGGAGCCCAGAATTTAGTCTGAAATGTCTATGCTGTGTGCAGTCTAGTCTAGTGGTCACCACAAGTCTTTAGAACAAAGGACCCAAATCCCAGCTCCTGCCTAGAGCTGGGGCATGGGTCTTCCCTTAGTGAAGATTTTATTACTCCCTATTAGTGGTTCACAAGGACTTAGTTCACTCACAACCCCCTCACTGCACAGTGGGAAGTGTAAACGCCGCCATAAATCTTCACAGCCTGCAAGAGAGCAGCCAGCCCTGCAGGCATCAGAAAGATTCCACTAGCTGAGTCTCATGTGCATTTTTCTTGTATATATTTTACAACAAGGCATCATGGTACTTGGGAGATTCAGCTTAACAGCTGGTTAAATCTGCAGGCACTTGTTTCTTGAGTAACGTTTATTGTTAGTAAAATGTGAACAAGCCCCAGGAAAGCATGGTGCCCAGGCAAGAATCAGACAGGGCTGTTCCAGGGGGTGGTCGTGCTGTGAGAGTGCGGGGTAGGCTCTGAGGGGAGGGTGGAGCAGCCCAAACAGCTTGCTTCACAACCTCAAGTGTGGTCTGTCCAGCACTTTACCTCTTGGAGGATGCCTGCTTTCCTGCCATTGGTGTGTGGAGAGTGAATAGACTCGCCCAAGAGTTGCATAAGTTATTGTTGGATTTCCCCAGTTCTTCCTGTCCTGGGTATATGTGCACACCCTCCAAGTGACTGAATGTCTTGGACAGTTTCCACATGTGTGCTGAGACATTGGCAGTAGCCAGCAGGGCAGGCGGAGAGCTGGGGGGAAGATGGGGCTCCTCTCTTCCTGTTGTGAAGATGGTGGCACTAGGACATAGGCTGAGCCAGTCAAAAGTGCAGTGTGACTGTCTCAGAAGAGTGTACTAGAGCAGGGCAGTATTTTCCACTCAGGGTAGGGCTGGGCAAGAAAGGTGTTAAGTGTAGAAGCCCACTATGTCCAAAGATGGAGGCTTACGTGTAAGTTCTCTGTCCTCACCGTCACAAACCTGCTTCTTCAATTGGGCAAGAATTGCCTTCCTCCCCTCAGGGAGGAGACATTTGTAAAACAAGCATGACTAATTTATTCTGCAATAATGCAGGATCTGTGTGTCACATTCATTTCACAAGTCCCTTGCTTAGTGAATGAATGTTGCTGGGATGTGACTGCCAGTGCCAGTCTGTTGCTGAACTCTGTCCCCATCCACAGAAAGAAGCCCACAGGGGGAGGGGTTACTTCCCCTGTCACCCTTTCAGCCACCAAAACTTGAAGTTATAAATATCTGTGTACTTGGTTGAATAACATCTCTTTGAAATTCATGTTCACCTAGAATTTCAAAATGTGACTTTATTTAGAAACTGAATCTTTGTGGACAGAATGATTAGCGTCCTGCCATTTGCAAACAGAGTACATGCCACACAGTGTGTCCTGTTGGGAAATAAAACAGTACCAACTAGGAAAAGAAGAACCCAGCCATACCTTGGAAGATCGTTTCCATTCAAGCAGACAGAACTTACAGATGCTCTAAGGTAAGTGATATAGATGATGATTTTGAAATGATGAACATTTTAGACCCAAGCAAATGGTTTTCTATCTCTCCAGTTCACAGAATTAGGTCAGTGATCATCATTGATTCACAAAATGTTTCCATCTCGGATTCATGTGTGGCCTGTATTATAAAACCATGTTATAACACTCAGAGAGTCACCAGCAACCCCAGAGCCTGGGCACTGACGATGACCCACAGCAGCCTGTGTTGTTCCATGCCCATCCTTGTGTCTAACCATCCACTGGAGCTCTGTCTTCAGCTCTTTCTTAAAAAAATGTTTTGGGCATACCTGCATCTGTGTGGCCACAAGGACCTATGGTATGACATTCTGGCAAATTCTTCAACATGAACTAATGCTATAGTCTATTGTCTGCTGCACATAGATACACTGGGCCACCTTTGCTCTTCTTCAGAAAGCCAAGCACACCTCTACCCTGGCACCCTGCTGCCTACCCATCCCCATTCTTGAGGTGCTCTTTTTCAATGAGATGGAGCCATCTAGGTCCATGGTCTCTGAGCCTACTGTCTACAATAGTTCCTTATCATTCTCCACTGAATAATTAGGCATAGTTATTCTTGGGTCCTCTTACTGTACTGTAAGCTTTGGAAGAGTGGAGATCTTTATGTTTTAAAATGATTTTATGTGCATGCATGTTTTGCCTGCATTTATGTCTGTGCATCACATGTGTGTCCAGGGCCCATGGAGGCCAGAAGAGGGTGTTAGATCCCTTAGGACTGGAGTCACAGAGAGTTATGAACTGCCACAAGGGTGCTGGAAATTGAACCTAGGTCTTTTAAAATAGCAGCCAGTGGTTTGAACTGATGAGCTATCTCTCCAGAGCCAAGATATCTTTTCTGTTTTCTTTCCTCCCCATCCTTTCTTCTTTCTTTCCCTTTGTTTTCCATCTAAGAAATGATTTCACACTGTAGCTCAGACTGACCTGGAACTCACCATGTAACCCAACCTTGCCTCAAATTTTCGGATCTCCTCCTGCCTTACCCTTCTGTCTGCTAAGATTAGAGGCATGAACCACCATGCCAGGTAAGTTTTGTCTATTACTATCCAAAGTCCTAGTACTGGGTACATAGTTGGTATTAGTAAATTGACTTGTATATTTTCTCTTAATGTACAATCATCTTTTATGCAGCTTCTACTTGCCATAACATGCTGGAAGAAGCTAAATGGAGGCTTGCTTTCCTTCTGAAGTTTAGTGTTTTAAATCTTGGAACAAAAACACCCGTTCATCAACATTACCTGGGTATGTACATGTTGTCACAGTTCTGTGGGAGCAAAGGAGGATTTCCTAGTGGAGACCACAGTGACCTAAACCTTGATGGGTGAGCAGACTTCAGCCAGGAGCCATTATAGGTGTAGCCATGCCTGAGAAGGAGTAGCAAAGCAAAGCAGAGGCGAGGGACAGAGCCATGTGTAGTGTCTCTCTGGACTGCATACAGTGTATGGGATAAAGGAAGTGTGAAGCTGCAAACATGGAGAAAGTAGGTCATGTAAGACCAAACATGACCGTTCCCTGCTAAGACCTGGGGGAGCACTGACACAGCAGAGCAGCCAACTGAGTCTGTACTGTCACCACTTGCTGCAGGGTAGAGGATAGGATAGAAGGGAGAGTGGACTAAGGTGCTTCAGGAACTGAGTCTGATTCTCATGATGCAGAGAAAGAGCTGCCAATCAGCGGCTAATTAATTCTGAGGGGATGTAAACAAGTTTTGTTGCAAACACGAGCTGCGTAAGTTGAGTTTTAGGTCTTTGTGTGATGTGTAGATGACCCAAAGAAGCTCAGTGGGATACTGGTACCTATCTGCTTCATATCGCATCTGTATACGTGGACGTTTATGAGTGTAGTCTGATAGTGAGGACTTAACAGTTATGGTTGGTCTTTAGTGTCCGTGGGGTATCCATTTTAGGACCCCTTGTAGGTACCATCGTCTGTGGATGTTCAAGTGTAATATGCACATATGACTCATGTACATCCTTCTAAATCCCTTAAATCATCTCCAGATGACTTGCAACAGCTAATACAATGTAAATACTATGTAAATTGTTGTTATACTAAATTGCTTTTGGAATAGTGACAATAAAAATCCTGTACATGTTCAATAGAGGGACAATTATTTACAAATATCTTTGATTCATAGTTGATTGGATCCTCAGATGTGGAATGGAGAGCTGGCTAGAAAACCTTTCAGAAAGCCCGTCTTAGAGCTCACCTGTGAGTGAGGGAGAGTCCGACTAAAACTTAGACTTTTAACCCATTGGGAACAGAGTGTTGGGTGCTCTTCCTTTGTGCCAGCTTCATGCCTTGGGCAGGGGAGGTCTTTAGACTGGAGCTTATAGTGTGTAAAGAGGCAGTGCTGGGCAAGGTTTGATGTCAATCCCTCTCTTCTGGATAAGGGTTTGCAAGAATCCTGGGGCTGACTTCATCTCCAATTCCTCCATTCTGGCTTCATCAATGGAGGTCTATGGTCTCATTAAGAAAAATGGCTCATTTAGTAATTTGTGCCAGGCGCTCTACCTTCCATTTCATTCCTGAAATCGTTCTGCACTCTTCCTCATATCCTGCTAACCAGCAGGCCCTGGAGACAGAAACCCATTGGTGACAGAGATAATCCTCAGAGGGACAGGAGAGACAGTAGTGAAGTAAAATCCACTCATTACTGACAGACATGTAGGCGAGGAAGAGAATGAGGAGTCCTGGGTCGCCACAGAGGGTGTGTGGACTGGGAGTAAACCAGGCTACAGTTCTTTAAAGGCCAGGCTCACACCTGAGGCTGAGGCTTTGCAGCAGCAACTGAGGATCTCCTGCTTGACCTGGCTCCTCAGCAGTTTGCTGCATCATTGGCTGACTCACTTAGTTCTGGTGGTCTGCGCTATTGTGTGGGCACACTTCTTTTTCAGAAGGGACCCAGACAAAGGCCTAATCGCAGAGCACTTTCATATTCAAACACAAGGACTTTTGTCTCAAGGTCATCTGTATGCAAATAATAAATGGAGCAGTTAAACAAATCCCTTGTAACCCATCAGGGCCTGAGTCCCTCTTTGTAATTGCCAGGGCTGTGGAGAAGGTAAACCTGAAGGGGCCGCCTTCTTGAGCATGGGGGTGGGGATTCCACTTATGTACTTCTTCCCAGGTGGGCAACACCTGGCTTTGACTGCTTTCAACACGTGTGCCAAGCAGGGGTACTGCCAGGGTTAGGAGGGGCCTCTGGAGAGCGGTAGAGAGAAAGGGGCTCAGAGGAGCAGGAGAAAGCCATCTTCAGGTGGCTCACTTGTTCTCTTCACAGAGGGTTTAAGTACCTGACATTCACAGAGGTGAGTAAACACAGAGAAGGGAACAACAGAGAAAGGATCATTCTAAGTAATTCCAGGGAGCTGTTTCCCTAGCCAGCTGCTATAGCAGAGCCAGCACACTTCAAAGACTCTCCAGTCGCCTGTCAGCTGCAGAGTCGCTCTCAGTAAAATATTGCAGGAGTGGTGAATCGTAAGTGTTGGAAGGAGGAGGTGATAGTGCTAAGCCAAGGGAGGAAAGGAGATGCAGAGTGATACCCCAGCAGGGAGGCGTGCTTATGGACCAGTGGGACCATTTTGGCTGGAGCCTAGAAGGTAAAAATGTCCTAAGAGGCAAGCTGATGTCTTCTGGCTGAGAGATGAAAGCTGGTGTATTTGGAAGGTTGTCACGACCTATTTTAAGAGGCAGCCATTCTCCAAATGGATGCACAGTTACTAGAGGGTGGGTTTGCGAGAAGCACACTGGTGAAACAGTGGAACTGCACAAGTGCAAGCAGGGCAGTTTCCGTTCTTTCCTCCCAGAGATTAAAGATGGGCAGGGCAAGGAGAGGCAAAAGCAGTGGGATCTGAGGATCGATCATAGGAGACAGGTCCTTTGAACGTTCACTTGTCCCATCAGATTTTAGATATTTAGAGATCAACACCAGTTCTGCACATAGATTTTCAACTGATGGGAGGATGGACAAGGACATGTTAGATGTAAAAGGTGGCCCATAAAAATGCTTTAATTGAGCACAGAGAAAAGAGCCTGACCAAGAACACATCTAATGCAGTGGGAAAATGATGAAGGTAAAACAACAATAACAATGCCCAGCAGGACTCTGGGTATTTTCGACCAAGATGGAAGGAAGAAGAGCAGGATGATGAATTTGATCAAGTAAAATAACCCCAGATGAGGGACAGTGACCATTAGGCCACTTCCACTGGAGAAATTTAGTTGTAGTTTGGAGAATGTGGACTCTAGAGTCTCTCCCTCACAGTAGAATGCCAAGGGCCTGATGGGAGCACCTTCATTGCAGAGCAGCACAGCGCCCCATCCTGTGGGAAGGGCTGGGTTCTGAGGACCCACTTCGGCCTCCGATGTCACCAGGTCTCTTCTCTAGCAGCTCTGCTCTGTTTCTTCTTAAGTCGACTTTTTCTTGAAGTCAAATGATGGATTTGGTGATGTCACCAAGAGTCAGAGGATTTTAATGATGTAGTCACATTTGGTAAGTCTTAGGTCTAAATGATGGACATAGTGGTACATGGAATAGAAATGCAGGGAAAGAGTCAGAGGCACTAGAAGTGCAGGGTCCATAAGACTCTCACCTCAGTGAGGTCCCATATCCACTAGAATGGGGACCCAGGAGAGAAGAAAATTATTGTGTGGTGGTGGCTATGCTGTGCTGCAGAGGACCTAGGAAGGAAGTTCTCAGAGTTTCCAGTAAGAAAAGAGGAGATGAGTGGGCAAGGCTCCTCTGATAAGAATTCCCACCCTCAGAAAGCAGTACTTTGGGAGGTGAGGCAAGTATTCTATACACATCTACACCTCAGCCCAAGAAGAACATGGCTCCTCATTGTGTCCTGTTGTGTTCTTCTGGGGGAAGTGTTTCTCAGGGCCAGGTTTAAATGCTACCTACTCTCATGTGGGGGACACGGGAGGTCATTTGAGAAAGGAGAGTCAGATGACCCAGCTCCCTAACTATGGCAGGCCAGGCCCTACAGACATAAGATGTATCACTAGAGGTGACATTCCTACTGGAGGAAGTGCATACTATGCAACTTATGACCTTGTGGAAGGTCATCCTTGCTAGGAGCCAGCAGCCTCTCATTTTCAACCTATAGAGTCATTGCCAGCATGGGCTCTGGAATAATGGGCATGGAGAGATGGCTAAGTAGTTAAGTATACCGGCTGATGTTTCAGAGGACATAGGTTCAATTCCTAGCGTACACTGTGGCTTACAATTGTCTTAACTCGAGTTCCAGGGGATCTGATGTTCCTTCTGGCTCCCACAAGCACCAGCTGCTTACATGGTATAGACATCTTTTTCTTTCTTTCTTTCTATTTTCTTGTTTTTCTTCTTATCTTTCAGCAATGCATTCTGCCAATGCCCACATACAGCACACAGTCCAACTTTCCCATGTTTCTCATGTGTGCCCACCCATGCACATACATCTGCCTCCCACGGCCTGTCCTCAGAGAGCTTCAGTGCTGATTGATAACATGGGTTGTACCGAAGGCCAAGGGCTCAGGGACATAGATGATGCCAGTGTGTTTGCTGGGGAGAGGAGGAGGCTCTTGCTGTCCATGAAGAGGCTTTTGGTGCAGGATGAGATGCAAACTAATATAAACATTAAACATTAAAACAGAACAAAATAAAAACCCTAAACAGGAAAGGCTTGAGGTCATGCCCATTAGGGTTGTGCTGGATCCTTGAGTACCTCCATCCAGAGCTGAGAAACTCTGGAAGGTCAGCTTAAGTTGAAGAGATCATACTCTGTCATCTTTCTATCATGGGTGTGCAAGTGAGCAACAGAGAGCTTGTCCTGTACGCACTCTTTAACTCCAGTAGATGTCCATAGTCCAGACCTGGCTGGAGGACTCATTCTCCTCAACCACTATTTTGTGATTGAAAAGCAGTATATGGGAGTGAGAGAGACGGCTCAGTGCTAAGAGCCCGGCTGCTT